TCGTCTTAGAAACGGTGTAGCATTCAATTATTTTTTCAAATAATACAAGATCAATTTCACGTGAAGATGGCCTTCGGGATTCAACAAAAACCTGCTGGTGAGTATATATTATCTGAAAAATGAAATTTTTTGTTAAAACAAAGTTCATAAAATCAGGAAGTACCGCTTATAAATTTGGATTACCGTAAATATGCTCTAAATTATTCTGACACTTTTTGGAGATCATGAATTCGAAATTTCCGCGATTCAGTACCACAAAAAAATACTGAAACTGTCATGATTAAACCAGACTTTGGATTGTTACATCATTCATCACAATACTGTATCTGTAAATACGTAACAAAATTTCAAAAAATCTTTCAAAATAGCCAGGCTACCCATCTCTTAAATTGAGAAGCAAAATAACATGAAAATAAAAAGTTAGCACTGTTGAAAAGGAAAACAATGTATAGCATTTTTTGCTTGAAATGATTCTGTGCAATATCCTTAGAGTATATCATGCTGTTAAGTTCAAGAAGCATGCACAATTTTCAGAGTGGTGAAGGGAAAACAGGGACTCAAATCAGTGCTTTGAAATGCATCATGAAATGTGTTAAAGTTCAAATGTAAACATGATACAAGTATCTCATCTTCACAATAATATGGATGAACTAAAAAGAGGAAAGTACTTTGTACCTTTTTATTTTAAAATGTATACTTCTCAATATCCTCAAAGTGGTATGAGATCAGATTGGTGGAGGGTGAGCAAAAACTTCAGAGTTCCACAGTTATTGGTGAAAAATAAGGCCATTGGAACAAGGCATTCCAAATCTAATCTTTATATATTTGACAAACAAAAAGTAAAAGAGCAGTTTTCAGAGACAATAGTCAGACATTTAGAGCAGATAGAAGCCTTTCACAGAAAATAGTTCCAAATGGAATGCTGTACTACAGTGTGGAACTATTTATCCATGATGAAATGCTTGAAAAATGAAGTAAGTACTAGCAGTAATTTCAAGATATTACGTAAATTCTTTAACCAGTTGATTTTTTTGTGAAACTAGAAGCATGTGAGGAAATGCAGAAAATCCTTTTGAAAATCACACATACACTTATATAGAACCGTTATACAGCAAAACCATTGGGAACTAAATTTTTTTTAAATACAGAATACTTAATTTTGAGATCCAAATAGCATTGTGTCTAGCCAGCAAAATCTATGCAGAAAACTGAAAAATTTCCAGGAAGCAAAAATGCAGTATTTTACTAAAATATTTATTTTACTGGTCTCAATGGCTTTGCTGTTGCGAGATTTTACTGTACCAGACTGCAACCAAAATCCACATCAAATCACCTCAGCTACTATAACTGCTATACACATCATGCTTCTCATCATCATTCATAATAAGAACTGAATCACATTTCATGCCGCCATTCAATCGTGGGTCATGCAAAAACGCACGTTTCTGCTCTTTCATCCCACACCTTCATTCACCAAAAGTCCTCAATTATGGGGTAATTCGCGGAGGGAAGAATAAGAGCCCATGATACTTTCTTTCCTTTATTTTATTTTTTTCTGAGGGGGTATAAAGGTGGTTCAGAAAAGAACCCCTCCTTGGCTACATTCATTCTGACGTTATTACGTTAATGACGCGTGAGATCTGGGGATCCTGTGCACGAATTGTGCGCAAAACGCTGCTCTTTCCTGCGGATCCCTGTTGTGCTAAGAATTGCGCTTATCTTTTTTTTAAATTTTAATTTTGAATATTGTATTTCCATTTCTTTCCTCTGGATGAATTATTCCGTGCTTGTCGAAAATAAAGGCTTGCGATGGGCGTGGGAAGATCGTGATTATGGTCTGTGATGGGATGCGTGGAGAACTTGTCCGTGGTAGTTGAAGGTAGTATAGAACCCAACTTTTGGGCGCATTTTTGGGAAAGTGCTCCCCAACCTTTTTAGACCCCTGGACCAGGAAATTTCCAAAATATTTTCTGCTGACCAGCAAAGTTTCATAAACTTTTTGCACACTCACAAAAGTTTCGCTTGAAAGACTCCATATGGAAATTATTCAAGAAGTTTATGTTTTTTGAAAAATATGAAAAAACACTGTTGCAGCAATAGTGGAATGTCTTCAAAAAATTAGAAAAGTGGGCTTGAAGAAAGGTTCCTTTGAAAAAAAAAATAAATAAATAATTTATTTCAGCTGGTGAAAATGTGTCTGAACTCTCTGAAGTGTTATTGAGAAGCACCAACTTTAATTTTAATCACATAATTTCAACTGCCAGTGCCTTCTGAAATTGCAGATGAAGATAACAGATGTTGTTGCTACTTTTGATTAATTTTTTATGCAAAAGAAAATTTCCCGCAGACCAGCAAAGCACTACTTCTGCAGACCAGCACCAATCTGCAGACCACAGGTTGGGGAACACTGTATTAGGAAGCTTCCATTTGCCTAAAAATAGGCATACTGTATATATACAGTGAGACCTTGATGTACAGACACCCCAACATACAGACGTTTAGACTTACGGACACTTTAAACCCAAACAATCTGGGCCATGCATGATTCTGAACGTTGGCTTGAGATTGTCTGACCTTTATTGTCTGACATCAGCAGGAAAATCTGGATCTCATAGACCTCATTCCTGGAGGCCATCCACCACAGTCACTCAACTGTTATGCACTTTGACTGTCTTACTTTTGACACTGGACTGCATTGAAGGGGGCCACTTCTACACAGTGAACAGGCAAAAAGCGCTCCAGAGATTTGGCAAACGTTGGTCATCAATGTCCAATGAAGCAACTGGTCCATGGGTGAGTAAATCACTTTAATGCTTAACTTGTTTTAATCAATTCCAATCACTTTGAAACACATTTTGGAGCATCAACTATAACTGTGGAATATATTTTGAAATATTCAATGGAGGACGTTTTAATATTTTTTATTTTTTATTCTGGCATACCAATATAATTGCAGTTAAAATTATCTCACAAAGAATATATCTTGGCTAATTTCCTAATAATACTTCAGACAGATTTTTAACTGATTTAATACGTTATTTAAATTTTTATTAATTAATAAATTAAGAATTTAATTAATAATTATTTAATGCATGCGAATGCATTTCTGCATTATAATCAATCCTATCCAGGCGTAACTTGAGTTATGCCTGGATAAATACCTACCTGTAACTAGAAGGCATTTCAAAACGCCTACATGAAACGCATTATTCAAAATCCTGAGTAGGAGTAACATGGAGGTGCATGAAATGCATAGCAATTTTGGCTGAAAACGCATTTAAAACGCGTTTCAAAATGCCTAATTATTTGCTGGGATGGAGATCATTATCTC